AATTCTTGAAATCAAATAAAATTTTAAATACAGCCTCAAAACTGCATTTTTTTTATTGATGTAAGCATAAAAAAATGAATTTAATTATTTTGATCAAATTTATCCACTATCTGTCATTGTTGCCATTTGTACTATTAATATTTTAAAACTCTTCTGAATGATCACTGGGCTAATTTCATCCAAACTTAGCACAGATTACATTGTAAAGTTATACTATAATACAGGTAAAGGGAATTTAAATTTGTTCAAATCAAGGCCCACATCTCTTCCGAGAAGAGATAACTAAGAAGTAGTAAAAACTCGGTGGTGCTATTCTTCTTAATTAAGAACCAGCAGATTAAAAAAGATGAAACTTGTTTGAAAGACTTTTGACAAAGAGATTAGATTTTACTTTATGCATTACAAATTGTCCTGCAGATATAAAATTTATGGACTCAAACTCGATGCTCCATATCAAACGTCAAGATGAAATGAAGAACTTTGTGTTTTCATTTCCATTAAAACATTGTGGTATATTTGAGTATTTTCAGAGAAGAATAAAAATATGAGTGCACTCTATGATCCAAAATTATAAAACATGACTGTGTTGTTATCCTCAAAACCAGTTCTATTCTTTAATCATTGCGTATTTTAGATCTGAAATTGCGCTCGGTAGGAAATATCGGAAAATAACTTTAAAATTTGACCGTTTTTGTTGCATTTTTCAGAATATGACAAAAATGACGCAATTCATGACTTCATAGTGCGTTTCAAAAATATTTGGTAATTTTCTATGGATTTTCAATCGCCAAGAGTCAAATGATATTTTATGCATTCTCAAGTAAAGCAAAGCTGTTTCACTTTTACAGAAATTTACAGGGACAAAAATTGCCTTATGTGAACATTGTTTTTAAAATTCATTTTTGACCAAATCATGACCCCAGGATAGGGTGGGGCCACAGTTTGTGATCAAAATTTTAATTACTGGTATAGAGAGGAAAAATCTTCTCAATAACAGAAAGCCTTAAGCTTTGTTTAATCATATTGACATGAAAGGATCCTAATGTATAGTGATGAAGATTCAAATTTCTTTTAATCTTTCAAATAACCCCTAAAGGTAGGAAGAAGTCACAACTAAAGATCAAATTTTTACATAGTAAAATGAAAAAAGCATCTTTTCAAGAACAGCTAAGGCTGTTGTCTGCTAGCTTCATACTTTTAAACTCAATAACTCTTTTTTACCAGGAGAAAGAAAAGTTTTTCCGTGAGATATGGACGAGCTTGGAAACAAAGGATGCGTCTCTGCAAAACCATATTCAAAGGGAAAGGATGTTTGCTGTTGGATTTCATGAAAATGAATGCATTGAAAAAATCAAGCTGTCAGTTGTTGATGTTGTCCAAAATCTTGATCACTGGGGTGAAAAACTTCCGCACTCCTGGGCTATGTTTGAAAACTTCTTCCAGGAAAAGAAAAACCTTAAAATCATCAACAAAGAGACACTTTTGGCTTTCAATGAAGCATTGCCACAAGAATTGAAGTTGGGAACAGTCGATGATATTAACACCATGTTGCAGTTTTTCCATGACATCAGAGAAATTTTACACTTTGACCAAGAATCTCTGAGAGGAATAATAATTCTTGATGTTCAATGGTTTGCAGATGTTCAATGGTTTGCAGATGCATTCAAAAATGTCATTACTGATAAAAACCATGCGGCTGAGGACCTATTTAAGCTTGCCTCACAATGGGACAAATTCAATGAAACTGGAGAACTCAGTGACACACTGCTGTCTGCGATATGGGAAATGAACAACAATGGGTACCTTGAACACAAAGAAGATATCATGCGCTACATGGAGAAGCTAGGACTCTTGGCTAAAATGGAAGACAGCAATTGGTATGTTCCCTGTATGAACAAAAAAACATTTCCTGTACATAGTTTTTCATCATACACCGCCTCCTCCATCCTATGCTACATGTTTGATGTTCTTCCTGCTGGAATTTTTCAGCGTCTTGTAGCAAGTTGTGTGCAGTTTCCATGGAAAATTGTCAAAGTAAATGAAGACGGAAAAGAACAACCATGCATTTACCAGACAGCGGCCGTGTTTCTGTTCGAGAAACACTGTGTTCTGCTTGGAATGACCCAATCAGAAATTCAGTTGCAGGTGTACGTTATTGAGGGAGAAGTTGATATACCCACATGTATCAAGATAAGAGAGAAAATTGAAGATGAATTGCACACTCTGTCCTCTACATTTCAAAGAAACTTGAAATTCCAAGTTGGCTTTAAATGCAAACCTATTGGCTTTTGTGACAGTAAAAAAAGTCACGTGATCAAGGAATCTGAGCTAACAGAGCCGACTCTTTTGTGCCCTTCCTGTCCTGTAGAGAAAAAGCACAATATTGACACAACAGAAATCCTCGAATACTGGAAACAGGTAGTGTGAATTGTGGTCTTTATATACTGAAATGAAACATATATGATCTACGAGATAGAATAAATTCAAAGTTTGAAATAATAGGTTTGAAATGTGTATAGAATAAATCATATTAGATTTTGATATAAATACCTTGATACTCTTCTTTTATTTGATTATTATTTTTTTGATCTTAAAGACAAGAAACTTAAGTAATTATCAGACTAAATGAAAATATAAAACTTTTATTGAGTTTACAAGGTAAAGAATATATATCAACATTATTCATTTATTGATTCAAAATTCTACAATACATTTAACTGCATTATAGAGGAGAAAACACAAAATTTCAACTGTATTTTAAACTGCATTAATAAAAACCTTATTAATTGACAACCAACAAAAAAATTACATGTCGACTTGTCCAGTATCATATAATTTTCCTGGTCAATACTTTTTGTACATTTTGACTTATTTCTTCCTTTTTTTTCTTCTTCCAATTTTTTATGCTAATGAATTCAAATTAAAATGAAAAGACTTTTTTCAGATGAGGACAAGCGCTTCCACAACTCCAATCGCCTCAGGACGCGACCTGGGGGACCAAACTAGATTTGCAAAACTCGGAATGGCAACAAACGATGTGTTAAATCAGGCATACAGAGATATACTGGAGTTGGAGGTGTCACCTTCTGACATTGAGAACAAAGTCAAAGCATCACCTGTTTATAAAAGATTGCGCCCGGAACAGGAGCATACCTTGCAGGATGCTAAACATTCTGGATATAAAAATTTTGATATCTCGTTAACTTACATGTTGATCAGAAATATTTGTAAGAAGGTTCCTAAACCAACAAAGCGAAAATGGGGAGACGAGCCTGCAGCAGGAGAGGAAACCGTGGGTGATGATATCGAGAGAATTAGGTCAATCCGGAACGGTTTGACTGCACATGTGAGCTCAGCCTCCACATCAAAGTCAGAATTCCAGAAAATCTGGTCCATTATCTCAGATATCTGCAAAAGATTGGAAACTTATACTGGAAAGAAGTATTTGGATGACCTCAATAAAATCCAAAAATTGACCTTGAGAATGGAAGATGAAAATGCCATTATAGAAAAGATCAAAATGGAAAGTCTGCATAAAATGGTGAAAAAATTGTGTTTAGATATGGAAGATGTGAAAGCAGCAGTAGAAAAGGCTTGAAATGAAGCATGCATGGAATTAAGAGTGTAAATATGAACTTTTCCTTTGATACAAGGAAAGTAAAATGTGTATTATTTTATATAAACTAAGTAGTTATATTCCAGTTAAAAATTAATCTTTTTTTCTAATAATAGATACAAGTAAATAGATCTGAATTTTTTTAGTAAACTTGATTTGTATTCAAATTAAAAAAGCACTGATCATGAATTTGAAAATATTTTATCTGTGACTTTAGAAAGACAAGACAACTAAATATGTAACACTGAGTGATCATATTACATGTATATCAAAGAAAATATTTGGAAAGTCAAAGTGCATATATTGAAACTGTATTATATGTATGATTGATTGTATATTGTTTAACGCCGAGTCGGCAATTTTTCAGCCATATTTCGGCAGACTATTAGGTTAATGGATCAGTAAAGTTTTTGGTTTCTCTGGCTATTATATGTATGAATTATATGTATGAATCAAAATTTAGCTGTGTATCAGATTAAGTTATAGTGGATGTTATGAATCTGCTACTTTCTCATACATGTACTTCAGAATGACCTTTTAGGTCACCTAGACTCAGGTGACTTATTGTTATCTGTTTTCGTCCGTTGTGTGTTAACATTTGAACATTTTCAGCTTCTTCTCTGCAACAGCACAACCAATTTAAACCAAATTTGGTACAATACATCTATGGGTACAGGGGAAAAAATAAATGTGAATTTTATTGTCCCTGTCCCCCTGGGGCCTTAGGGGAGGTGCCAAAACCACAAGAATTAATGTAATCCTTAAAAATCCTCTTCTTTAGTCCTAAACATGAAGCAGTAAAACTGTTGGCATGATTGTAATCAGCATGGAATCCTCTACCAAAATTGTGGAATTCATGGCCTCATGATCAGGGGTCCTAGTACTTGGACGAGGCTAAATAGATTATATAGTGAAAATGCATATTTTTAATTATGACATTTCATAGTTATGTTTAGCAAAAATGCCTCATCCAAAATTATTAATTTTATGGCCCCAGGGTCAGGGAGTTTGGTGTTAGGGCGGGCGCTATTGATTATGTAGTGAAATTGCATAAATTCTTTGAAAATCTTCTTTTCTAGACCTGGGTATTAAATAGTATTTGTTATGATCAGCAAGCAAGAATGTCTCTTTTACAATTTTAATTTCCATGGCCCCAGGGTCAGGATTTCTTATTTTAATGTGGAGCTGTATTGGTTCTATAGTGAAAATACATTAATCCTTTAAAACTCTTTTCCTTTGTTTAAGGGCATTAAATTAATGAACTACATAACTTTGACGAGGAAGGGTGGTTCTTCCCAATTTATGAATTACAGTGCCACTGGGTCAGGGGTTCTGATGTTAAGTCGGGGATCTAATGACTATATAGTTAAGATACATGAAGTACCGGGGTATTTGAAAATATTTTTCTTAGCTCCTGGTAAATATGACAATGATCCAATTACTTATGATAACAAAAGTTCCCTCTTTCCAAATGATTAAATTTAGGTCCCCTGACAGGGGTAGAGAGGGTTAGGATCCTTTGTCTGATAATGAATTAATGCCAGGAGATCTGCTCTTTGGTGTGATGAAATAAAATTTGTAAAATTTTGAAATATGTGGGCCCCATTGTCGGTGGTTCGTATGGGGGTAGGTTTGAGTGCACAACTGGTGGTTATAATGTTGAAATATATATTTTCACTTTGTTATTCTGAACTATCTCTGAGCATTAAGTAACTAAAGTAAGCATGCTAAGTGTAAAATTATGAGAATTATACATGTACCTCTTTCAAATTTATGAATTTCATTGCTTTTGGTTTAAAGTACGAACCAAATTCAATTGTTGGAAAGTTGTTACATGATTCTCTGGTGACCTATAAAGCCAATCGGACTCTTGTGTAATTAACATGAAAAAAACTATCAGATAATTCTTTTGTCTAATTCTTTATTTATTTTACACAATCTGTTTCATTGTTCATCATACAAAATATGGAATTTTTAGGATTTTTTACAGATTGTTTTTTATAAGGAGAGATTGTGATAGAGGGCGGAAGAGAGAAGGTGAAAGAGTCAGAGATCTAGAGTTGGCATGTTAAATCCTTTGAATAATAAATAAGACTTTCATTTTTTAACATTTTATATATAAGAACAATTAACAGTGGGACGGACAACTTCGGAATGGACATTTTTCCGAACTTGCGCACCCTTTTCCTTTAAAGCTATCATCTTAAGTTTTTTTTTAAATGGTGGGGTTTTTATAATCAAATTGATTTATGAAAAAAAAAATTCAACATTTTCTGCTAGTTTTTGAGATATTTGAGTTCAAAAACAAAAATCCCATGGGGAAACATGAACTTAAAAATACCCCACAAAAAACCCCACAAAAACCCCATGGGGTTTATTTTTCACCCCATGGGGTTAAATAACCCATATTATTTTTCGTGGGGTTTTTTAACCCACGTCTCACTAAAAATAAAATGTGGGGTTTATTATCCCATAATTTTTTATGTGGGGTAAAAAAACCCATATTATTTCTCTTAATGCTTGTAATTATCAAGTGAGAATTGTACAATAAATATTGTTTGGAGTTGCAACATAAACTAAGTACAATACATGTACATTTTTTATCAACTTTGTAACAATTTAATTAATTAATTTTTTTTTCAAACTCATTGATATACAGTACCTGGCCATAAGTGAGTCATAATTTTATTTTTACACTATATATTTCATTGAAAAACCTATTTTCATAAAAACTTGTTGTGAAGTCAATTTAGCTCAATTTTCATGATTTTTTCACTGAAACATGCAGAATTATTCAAATTTTCTTATCTTAAATGATAAACAAAATGATACTTAAACTATTGAGAATAAATCATAAAATATTGTCATGACAAAATTTTCTAACCTCAAATTACTATTATTTCTTAACAAATTGAAGTCTTAAAATTTTTGTTTTGCACTTGACCTGTGATTTCACGGTAATGCATAAAGATAAAACTATTTTGAAATAATGTGAAGAAACTACAACAAATTCTGCATTTTATGGTGTTTTAGACATTAAAAAGAAACAATAAATGACACTGCAAGAATATTTTAGAAAAATGTGTTTCCTAATGAAATATATAGTGGAAAAATAAAATTATGACTCACTTATGGCCAAGTACTGTACATTTATCACTGCATATGTAAATTAGACATGACATAAGCATGATAAGAAGGGAATTAAATTATATTTTTTTGACTGACCCGTAAGTGAAAAAGTAAACAAATACGGATTAAAAGTTTGAAAGTTAGTCTAATATTCCAAGTGGGGGAGAGAAATGAATATAAAAAAGACATTGGAGTGGACCGGCAATTTCATCAGAAAAACAATGTAAAAAATAACGTGACTTTGTTTACGCTACCGTAGCTCACAGGTTATTGTTTTCACTATTTTACTGATAAAACTGCCGACTCCTCAGTCCTGTGACCTGTTATTGAACACCGTTGATCGTGAATCACATAGTAATGATAGTTGTTCTACTTACATCATGTACATGGAGTTTAGTTTGAGCTCTGCTGTTTGTAGCATAATGGACTTGATTCAAACAAAGACAAAAACTTCTCTACTTTTCAAAGAATGTTTTTGAAATTGATTGAAAGAGACCAAATCAAATCATGACTTGTGATACTTCTAATTCCTCATTTTGGCACCATTGTCACCCACATCTTTTTCTTTCCCTATGTATAAGTCGTACTCTAAGAAACATATGGGTGACTCTGACAAATAGCGTAAAATTCAAAGACTAAACTGTTATATTTATCCGGAATTTGTTTTTCAGCTACACTGACAAAAGTTAAGTATATTATACTAATAGATGTTTATGCCCACTGGCCCTGATTTGGGAATAAATCCCATTGTATTCCATTCTAAATAATCTGTAAATGCAGTAGCTTCTCAATCCTAAACCAGAAAAATGCTTTCTTTAAAGTGATTAAAAGAACCAGTTCGTCTTCTTTCATGCAATATAACACTTTTATAGCTAGCTTTTTCAAAGGAATTAATAAATTTAAATCATGAAAAAGAGATGAAAGAAGACGAACTGGTAGCGTTTGGAAGGTGTTATGGAGTAAAAATACCACACCAAGCAAATTTACATGAAATAAAATGAAAGAAAAGACCTATAGCCCTCAATGTTTCACTGGTCAGCATCGATGATCAAGGACTCTAATAAATTCATTCAATACGCATACAGGTATGGGCTGACTATATAAAATCTAATATTTATTTTTGAATATTAATTATGTCTATAAGGCAGCTATAAAGCTCCTCCGTTTTTCAATAATTTATTTAAATTTTAAAAACTTATAGCCTTGAGTAGAAAACAGTCTCCCATTTCCTTAAATGTTTCAAAATATATATATATATATATATATATAAACAAATACTTTGATAAAGTTAGAATAACTAAATACAAAAAATTTATAATTTATCATTTTAGATTAAGAAAGACCATACTTTAATTTACAAGAAAAATAAAACCATACTTGCCAAATTTCATTGAAATATGAAAAAGTTATGGCCAGTTAAGAGAACACACTAGTACAACTGACTGTGTATTACATGATGATGGATTCTCCCTATATAAATTTATGTTCTCTTTTAGTTTTACAATTTAATCACTTAGGATTAAGAAAGACCATACTTTTACAAGAAAAATAAAACCATACTTGCCAAATTTCATTGAAATATGAAAAAGTTATGGCCAGTTAAGAGAACACACTAGTACAACTGACTGTGTATTACATGATGATGGATTCTCCCTATATAAATTTATGTTCTCTTTTAGTTTTACAATTTAATCACTTAGGATTAAGAAAGACCCTACTTTTACAAGAAAAATAAAACCAATACTTGCCAAATTTCATTGAAATATGAAAAAGTTATGGCCAGTTAAGAGAACACACTAGTACAACTGACTGTGTATTACATGATGATGAATTCTCCCTATGTAAATTTAAGTCCTCTTACAATTTATAATTTTAAGTCTCAACTCTGTTTTAAGTTGTTATAATGTGCACCAGTAAGAACATTTTTTTCTAGAAAATGTCATATGTTATATGTAGGCATTCACAAATTAATTTGGTAAAATTAAAAAGAAATGTTGGAAAAGTATTCCATGAAGATACAGTATATTTTAATCTGTTTAATAAGAAATATATGAAGAAGTTGAGTAATACATGTATGAATTCTTATTTATGAAAATAAGTTGCAAATGATTTTGAATGAGCAAACCATTGTTTTGTTTATTACCAAGAACCATACAGTTCATAGGTTTAACGTATATACATAAATCAGTTGTACAGTATATGTATAACATTTCAATGTCATTCGAACATTATGAAGCCTTACATCAGAGACATAATTAGATAAATAACAGTTATTATGTCTCTGCTTACATCCAAGTATTTGGAAATTTATCAATATGTCAATGACCGTTTTCCATGGCAATAACACAATAATTATCAATTAGTAAAATTACAAAAAAAAGTTAATTTTTCTTCTTCTTTTTTTTTTTTTTTTTTTTTTTTTTTTTGTATTTTCATCAATGAACACTTTGAAATGTGCTTTTTACTAGGAAAACTTAAAAAAAAATTTAGAGTAGCTAGTTACTCTGAAAGCAGCTATGTATATACACAAAGGGTCTATAGTAAACAGGAAATGGTTCGTGTAATGATCAGTCTGTGTGGAAATGAATTCTTGAATATATGTACATACCGGGTATATCATCATATAGACTGAAACTCTGAAAGGTGTGAGAACATTCCTTCGGGCAAAATTCTCCAATATATTTTCAAAGGTGTGAAATAGGGATAATTCACTGATTTCAATTTAATTGATCTTTTACATATACAGATTTTCAGAATTAATAAATTGAAAATCAATCTGCAATTCATCCCTTTTATGACAGCACTAATCAAAGGGTTTTAATTAAGACTGTTTTTCATGATTCAATACTCCAATTAAAATCATCATAATTTAATAATTAGGTACTCAGTGGTCATCAAATAATACATGGCTTCCTCTCTCTCTCTCTCTCTCTCTCTCTCTCTCTCTCTCTCTCTCTCTCTCCTCTGTATAAAATTATTGCACTTCCTTCTCTCTCTCTCTCTCTCTCTCTCTCTCCTCTGTATAAAATAATTGCACTTCCTTCCTCTCTCTCTCTCTCTCTCTCTCTCCTCTGTATAAAATTATTGCACTTGCAGTTATTTTTTTTTTTTTTCATTTTTTTTTATTATTTCCCCCCCCCCCAGAAAATTTCAATTGTAGTTGTTGACAGGATAAGTGGAATAAAAAACCATGCAGAGAGAGAGAGAGAGAGAGAGAGAGGGGGGGGTATAAAACAATTTAACAAAAAATTCTGTTAGTTGTATATCAACACTTGAGGGGAAGTTTGGAATAGGTTAAGCATGTTAAGTATAAAGCATTCTGAAATAATTAGGCCTTTGATTTTTTTTTTTTTTTGGGGGGGGGGGGTTGTTACCAAATAACGATTAAATGTATAAGGAATATTGTATAAGGTTTCCGTTAATACTTAAACAATAAAATGCTTTCTTTGTTTGTTGTTACTGGAATGAACGGAAGCAGCTGTTGCAGAAAAAATACATAACCCGCGTAAGCGGGTTATGTAAATTTTTTCTGCAATAGCTGCGACCGTTCATTCCAGTAACAACAAACAAAGAAAGACATTTTATTGTTTATATTTATATCTGTTTAAATTATCATTTTAAGTAGGATTAAAGATATTAATTATTGTGTTAATGATGCGAACGTCTTTGTACGTTTCATTGATGGAACGGCCACTGATCAAGAAATCTGTACAGGTGATATGCCTAATGTAGTTTATGCAGGGATGAACGCAATGGGTTAAAGAAGAAAATATTCAGTGGATGTAAATATTCTATAATTGGTGTTGATGTACATGGTTAAGGTTGTGCAGTTCTTTAGATTTAAATATATATGTAGTAAAAATCACTTAAATACGTGTAAGATGGCTGCATCCCTCTACTTAATTAACCTGACTACAGTTTTTCAGCAAATCGTCTTGTTAACTTGCAATAGATAGTAAGGCACGTGTTCATGTCATGCAGTTGTGTGAAATTAA